CCCGGCCGCCCCGCAGCCTCCGGCCGCCCGCCACCGGCCCCGCTCCCGCAGGACGGGCCCAGACCGACCGGGAAGAAGCCGGCCAAGCCGCTGAGGACTCCCGGCGCTTTCGCTCGGGCCCACCGCGGCGGGCCGGTGCCCCCCGCCCCCTCCTACCTGCCGGCAGCCCCGGAGCTCGGTCCCGGCGGTGAAGGCCGCACTGGCTCCGAGAGGCTTCGCGTTACCCCTGACAACGGGGAGCGCCCCCAGCACGGAAACTGCCGACCTAGAGCCGAAGAGTCACGGAAACAGCCGAAGCGGTCCGCGGGCACGCCGGAGAGAGACGGAAAGTGCCGAGCGCGCTCGGCCGCGGTGCCCAGCCGGCGGGTGCGGGCCGGCACTGAGCGTCCCGCGCTCTCTGCCCGAAGCCAGCGGCGACCGCGCTCCGGGCCGGGTCGCCTTCGCCCCCCGAACGAAGGGGGGCTGGAAGCGCCGCTGCCCCCAGCCGGGCCCTACCCCCCCGAAGCATGTTACCGAAGGAGGGCTGCCCCTTCGCCGGGCTGCGCGGCAGGCCCCGCGCCCCCACCCACACCCTGCCCCTCGGCAGGGAAACCAGCAAACAGCTGCGGGCACGGCCCCACCTCCCCCTTGGATACCCACCCTCGGGGCTCCGGCTGGTGAGACCCCAAATCATAACGGACAGCTTTCAAGCATCGGTGGCTGTCTTCAGGATTTAGCAAATGAACCCGTGAGGAACTTTTTCTAACATGGATGGCAGACTGTGCAGCTCCCCAGCTTCCTGGGAATCAAGATTCGATCACAAACTCTTCAGGACCCTGAACACGTATTAAACACCCACTGCGACAGAGCCTGAGCCAACCGAAACGTAGTGAACTATAAATGCATGCTGTAACCGTATGTGATTATACAGCCCGGAGTTCATTGGCTCTTTCAGAGCTTTTGTGGGAAAAGGGATCTGGTGACTTCTTGAGACAGTGGCCAAGTTTTTCTAGTAACATCTAAGTGAAAATAGCCCCAACAAAGCCCTCCTGCTGCGCCCCCAGCACCCCTGGGTGCAGCAGGTACAGCCCAGGTCAGGGACAGCACAGCTCCATCTCCAGTCCTCAGTGGTGCTGGGCCTGCATTCAGCCTTAACAGCCAGGTTTACCCAAAACGTTCAAAAGAGACAATTCAAGACCTAATCCTCATACCACTGTCAACTCCACAATCATTTGTAATTCCTCTCAAGTCACAACACTTCCACACAAAACAGATTAAAAGAGGCCACACCTCTAGTACAGCTGTGACCAACAGCTTCTGCATGCACTAATTTACATTGACTCTGGCCATGTGTAACACCTTGTGTTATTTACATGGTGTTTCACACTGCTTCCCTTTTCCAAACATACAGCAGTTACTGGGACCCTCCTGACAAAAAAAGCCCATCAGTTTTGTTAGCAAGTAGGAAAAAGTACTAGGTAGGAGGCAGACTGCATTAAAACATGCTGTATCTCTTCCAGAACTTAAAGATAGGCTTTAGGTAGGGAGGCAAAACACTGGCTTTAGACCTTCTTGCTATGAGCTCAGCAACCCCCTCTAGAACAAATTGGTTTTTAAGCAGCAGAACTGAAAGTCCTGTTTTCTGTAGCTTTTTATCTCATGCTTTAATTATCTTCTCCCTTACAAGGCATCAACTCTAACAAAGTCATTTATGGCATCTTTTCTTGGTGGATTCTTGGACATGGGACAACACCCTTAGCTCGCTCAGGTGCCACTCCCAGAGTAATTCATTTCTTGGCTCTGCCCAGCTGACTATTTTCACCAATTGTGCTCATAGTATTTTTGAGATCATCAGACTTGAAGCTGAGTGTTTGAGCAGACCATGTGGGCAGATACCTTGTTTTCTCAGACAATCAGGCTAATGAGGAAACTATTGCAACTACATAGCACAATCAAGTCAAAAATACACGGCCAGTAGGAGCTGCTAGAAATCATCTAGTCTATCATACCTTTCTGGGCTGGAATAAAAATAATCTAAAAAAACCCACTGACTGTCTCTGCTCAAGTGACCATTTTCACAGCTTTCATAATTGCCTGCTTCAGTGTTACACAAAATATTGCCCAATAACTAAACTACATATCCCTACTTGTGCAGGCTTAGCTGGAAATTAAGTTCCCAGCCCTCCAATATTCAACAGAGAAGCCCTGCTGTAAAGGATGTATATCCTAAATAAACAAATGAACAGGGCATCCTAGGATCCTAACATCTTCCCTCCTGAGTACTGCACTCATAAAAGATGCCTAACAGCTCTGAGTCCCTCAAGTCCCAGGACCAACAAAGAAGAGCCTTCAGCAGCATAGTTGCACACAGTGCATTTTGTCCCTTCCTCTAAGGGCTTGACCTCAGATGCTGAGAAAAAAAAAATTACATTGCACGATTAGGTGCTTCCTACTTAGTAAGCCATAAAGGATTAACAACAGAAGTCTGACCTTTGGTTTAAATCCTCTTACCTGAATGGGAAAGAACTGCTTTAGTAACACACAGATGACCTATTATCATTTGCCAGATTAAACACGTTAAAAGCCTTTTAAGAACAAATGAGTTATGAATGAAATGTAGTAGCTTCTAAGTAACCTAAAAGGAAAATACAGAACATCCACTATATTGGTGGCTTTTACATCTAAGGTCTTTGGAAAAGTATTTTCATGTTACAATTAGTTTATCATGCACATTAGATGCAAAATTAAAAACACCTCAACATAAAAGTATTAACTTTGTCCTTCTGTCAGACAGTTCTGCATTGCTTGCTGTATTTCTATTAGGCATGCAGTTTCTTATTCATACCTTAAAATACACAGGATGTGCAACAAATCCAAGTTAATGTTCTTGTCTGGTCCAGAAAACCATGGCAACAAACACTGAAAGATTACTTGCATTTTGTATCTGTGCAGGTCTGCCAAAGCATGATCATGGATCCTCCCTACTATTAAAAAAGAACGAATGAAAGTTCAAGTGTCTTTTGACATCTCAACCTACCCCCTGCCTCCCAGCTCTTGTCCAACTCCTTTCTATTCAGTCTTTCTTTCACAAACATTTACACACATGAGCAATTTCACACCTTAACAGTCCACTTGAGGCAATGGGACTATTCAAGCATATAAAGTTATTTACATACAGAGAGAATGGAAACCTTCAACTCTGAGCTCCTTGGGGAACTGAACATACCTTCATGTCTCTTTGCAAAGCACCATGGAAATACATGGCACTGTAGATGCAGAATGCATCATTTCCTGTCAGGATTGTTAAATTTGGTTGTGGTCAAACCAAGTGGCAAAAATAAACCATATGATCTTGTGCTACATTATAACAAAACTGCAAAATAATCTCTCACTAATTAAGATGTAGATTTAAATGCAAAGCTCTACAGTAGAAACAAGAACAATAAGCAATTTGGCTCTTTTTTGTTTACAAATTGCATTTATAGCAATATACTTGGTTACTCACAGCTACGCTTTACAGCATATTTATCGTTCACGCAGAGCCCAAGGCATGTTCAAATTTAGCTTGCCATCACAGGATAATTACTTGCAACACTCTCCATAGGAGCCCCATCTTCCAGAATTTAGATGCCATCATGAAGTTTAAATTCAGACATTGATTTCTAAGCTACAGCTCGTGAAGATTTTCCTCATAAGAGGACTAAAGCAGCATTTCCTGCTGACACCCACAAAGTTTCAAGAAGAGGATGATCTAATATTCTTTCCACAAAAAATTTATCAAGGAAAAAAAAATCTCACACAGTACCAGTTGAAAGATTTTTTTAGAAGTGATTCTTCCTAGTAGTTAACATGAAGTCAGCACGTTAGTAGCAGAGAGCAGTCACTGGAAAACAGGCCAAAACATTAGGTTAGTAAATGAAATACAACACCCTTTAATTCAGTACATTACTGAATAAAGCTTCTTAATCCTGGAAGCATTTTATTAAAAAAAAAAAAAAAAATCCCACTTAAGGGTACCTACACAAGTGCAACCTCCGCAAGAAGACTACAAGTTGTGAAGACACTAGGCCTTCCCAGGTTTCACATTGATCCTTTCATGTATGTTATCTGTAGCCTTTATAAACAAGGAGGAACTTATTAACATCTTAACTACTAAGAAGCGAGGTGCTGGGCCAGCGAGCGCCTCAGCAGCGCTCCAGGCCCCAGGCCCCCACTCAGCTCGGAGCCCCACGTTAGGCGGCCCGGACTCCCACCAGCTGCGGCTAACAGGGCCCCGGCATCGTCTTTCTCCTTAAGAACTGCTAAAACCAATAAGAAACTCGCAAGAAGTGTTGGGTTCTTTAGTCGCCACCAAGTCCGGGCTGCGAAGGGATGCTCGGCACCAAACCTGCGGCACAGCCTCCCCGCTGGGCGCCCCGACACTGTCCCTGCCGGCACCGAGGTCCGGCCCGGGAAAGCACAAGATGCTTCGGAGGAGAGCGGCCCCAGGGCTCCCCCTCACGCTCCGCCGGGCGTAAGGCACCGGGAGCGGCCGCCACGATGCAGCTTCGCCGGGTAGCGAGCTGGCCTGTGCCAGCGGACCTCTCCGGGAGAGGACGTACGGCCACGGCGGAGGGGAGAGGGGACGGGACCCACACCGCGAAGCGAACGAAGCAAAGCCGCAGTGCAGGGCCTCGTCCCGATGCGCGCCCGAAGCCCACCCGGCGAAGCCCACCCGGCGAAGCCCTCCCGCCACCCGTGCAGTGCAGCGCCCCGCCCCCCCGACTCCTCCCCCGCCAGCCCTGTCCGGCCAAGCCTCCTCCTGCCCGCCCCAGCAGGTTATAAATACAACGCCGCATGCAAATCAGCAGCTTTCTGACCAATGGAATCCTGGATCACGTCCAAGGGCCCCGGCTGTAGGGCCAGCGATTAGTTTTTCTTTTAGCCAATCAGCGGCCAGCTCTCGGGATTCGTCTCGCCCTCTGACGGACACCGGCTACCGCCTCTTCCTTTGCGCTAAGCTGTCGTCACCCGCCCCGCGCCGCGCTTTGTTTGGCTTGCGTGGGGGCCCCGGCCCCGCCTCCCGTCTCGCTCCCGCTTGCCGCCAGCCAATGGGACGCCTTGTTTGCGGTCCTGGGGAGGGGAGCGCCGGCGCTCTCAGCTGGGCCCGCGCGCCGCGTCCTGCCCCGCCCCCTCGGCCCGGCGCAGGCTGACGAGGAAGCGGAACCGCCGCGGGCAGGAACCCCATCGCGGCCCGCTC